TTGAGATATTTTTAACAAAAAAAAAGAGGTGAACAGAATATTTGATTGGCAGGTACTCACTTTAAAAAAGAGAAACACACAAAAAGTGAATAAGTACAATTAAGAAAACACTAAGGCAATGGAATCAATTCATTTTTCTAGACTTTTTTTTTTAAAAAAAGTTGAAGAACAAAAGGTAAGAACAAAAAGCAGATGAGAAGGAAATAAGCATTTATCTAGCATCTGCTGTGTGCCAAATACTATGCTAAGCACTTTTTACAAATGTCATTTCATTTGATCCTCACACCTATGTTTGCTGGCTGGTTGGTTGGTGCTATTATCCCCATTTTACAGATGAGGAAACCAAAGCTCCAAAAGGTTAAGGCTGGATTCCTGATTCCAGGCCAACATTCTATTCACTGCACTACCAGGGACAAAAAGTATATAAGGGGCTAAGGATTTCAGGCGATTTTAAAGAATCAGGAGAAGAGAATGAATAAGAACTAAATTAATATTTATTTACTCCCTTATAAGTAGATAAATATTTTTGGAGGTGGGACAAGGTAGGGATATTGTGAGAAATTTCTCAATTGAGAAAAATAGAGGCACAGAACAGAGGGGAGCTAGAGATTCATTTCCCTGATTGACCTCACATAGGCAGTAAGTGGTCTCCAAGAGAAGGGCAATTTGAAGTATATACATATACACTAACATATACACACATATACATAGATATACACACATATACATACACACGTATAAAAGCATGTGTGTCAGTCTTTGGAGAACTTAAAACTTGAGTTTTGAATAGGCCTGAGGGAACAAAAATACACAATATGTGGGATTCAGGCATCCCTGGAGCGTGTTTGACCTCTACAGTAAGCTTTTTGGATTAAACAGTTTTCTAGCCACATAAAGCTAGGTTCAAACAGTATTAATAAATGATAAATAATAATCTATACTTTACTATAATTTAATAAAATGGTATAAAACAGTAGAAAGGATACAAAAATAAAACCCAACAATTTGTTAAATATAAGAACTACATAAAAAACTGAAGCCCGTGTATGAAATAAAAAAGAAAAACTGAAATCAAATTACTATGTATCAGATGATTCTAAATAATCTAGAGTTAACAGTGGTGTTATCAGGCAAAGCAAAAATAAATTGATGAAGTCAAAGGAGATAATTAGGGAAATTATGTCTGAAGATACCAAAAACAATGACACAGTACTAGTATTAAACATATGCAGGAAATGCATAACATCTAAATTTTTTAGTGAGAAGTTCTGAATTGCAAAAAAAAAATCCTAATCAATAACAATAATTGTAGGAGATTTTAATATTTCTCTTTCTGAGCTGGATGAATGTAACAAAGATAAACAGAAAAATATAAACATTTAAAAGCTTTTTGAAAGATAACCATAATAAGGAGACAATATAATTTTTAAAATGCAGCCAAAATAGTTCTCAACAGAAAAATTTTCTCTGAAAACCTCCATTGACAATATAAAAAAAGAAAGGATTAATGACCTGAGTATATAATTTCAAAAACTAAGGAAATAATGCCAGCAGCTAGGTGGTGCAGCGGGTAGAGCACTGGGCCTACAGTCAGGAAGACTTGAGTTCAAATCTAGCTTCAGCCACTTACTAGCCACATAACCCTGGGTCAGTCACTTAACCCTGTTTACCTTAGTTTCCTTATTTGTATAATGAGCTGGAGAAGGAAATGGCAAACCACTCCAGTTTCTTTGCCAGGAAAACCCTAATGGGGTCACAGAGAATCAGACATGATTGAACATCAAGGAATCAATGTATTACCAAACCCAAAATGAGCACCAAATAAGAAATGTTGAAAATTAGTGGAGAAATAGGTACAATGGAAAAGAGTGACTATAGTCACAGTGCTAAAAGTTGGTTCTTTGATAAGGCTAACAATCAATAAACCTTTTGACTAAACTGAGCCAAAAAATAATAATAATAGAGAGGAAAATCACCTTATCAAAATAAAATGAAGAAGAAATAAATATAAAGAATAAATGAACAATAAAGAAGAAATAAAAATAATTGTTAGAACCTTCCATATACAATTATATACCAACAAAACTGAGAATTTGAAACAGTGAATAAAGAGGTACCTACAGAAACACAAGACACTCAAATTAACCAAACATGAATCAGATCCCAGCCCAGTCTCAGACAGTAAAATTGAATAAATCATAAAGCACTATCAAAGACAAAACCCTGGTCCAGGCAAATTTATAGATGAATTCTAGCTAACTTCTAAAGAATAATTAAAACCCATTCTCCACAAATTAGTCTCAATGACTAAGAAAAAAAGCATACCACTTAATTCATTTTATGAGAACACTATACCTAAACTAGGGACAGATAGAGTTGAGCAACAGAAGCATATAACAATATCACTAATAAATACTGATACAAAAAATTTAAATAGAATCCTAGCAAAAAAGACTATAGCAATATAAAAATATTCACTATGACAAAGTTGGGCTTATACCTGGAATGCAAGGATGGTTCAGAGTTCAGAACAATAAGACTAATAGTATCAAAAACTAAAACAATTAAAACCAAATGATTATGTCAACATGCAGAAAAATGCCTTTGACAAATAGTCATAATAATAATAATAATAACTAATATTTAAGGTTTGTAAAGCACTTTACAAATGTTATCTTAGTTTATCCTCACAACAACCCTAGGAGGTATGTGCTATTATTATCCCCATTTTATAGATGAGGAAACTGAAACACCAACAGGTTAAGTGACTTGCCCAGGGTCACACAGCTAATAAATGTCTAAAGCTGGATTTGAATTTCCTTACTCCAGGTCCATTGCTCAGTCCACTGTACCACTTAATTATTCAGGGATAGATTTCAGGTCACGGGGCAGAGGTGGGGGTAGGGATGAATAATGAGTTCAATTTTGTATATGGTGAGTTTGAGATGCCTATGGGAATCCAGGTATAGGATTGTTCTCAATCTCAGATTGTTTGTATCTTCTGCAATATATTAAATGTACTGATAATAAATTATACTGTTATTGTAATAATAGCAATAATTAACATTTATATAGAGCTTATTATGAGCTAGCACTGTTGTTAATTATATATAATATTTTATTAATATATTTAAATATATAATTATTAAATCCCAATCAATCCACAATCTCTCACTCTGGGAGGCAGGTGGTATCTTCATTTTACAGTTGAGGAAACTGAAGCAGACAGCAGTTGTGATTTACCCAGGGTCACCCAATTATTAAGTGTTTGAGGCTGGATTTGAACTCAAGGTCTTTCTGACTCTAGGCCCAGTGCTCTATCCACTGTGCCACCTAGCTGTTAACTAATATTACTCAGCATATCAACACACTCAGTATGTTACAGAGCACATATTTAAGCTCAGAATGAAAACTGTGTGAGAGAAAACTGCTTAGTTACATCTGTTATATCCAGATGTTATATATCATGGTGAGGCCTGACTTCACTTCCCTGTCCAGAATGGGTCATGCGATGCAAAGTCTGCAATTCTCAAGTCACACCTCAGTATTTGGTAACTAAATTCTTCCTCTGTGTCTTTTATTGATTGACCTTCTTCCCTCTTCCTCCCTAAGTGCAGACCTCTCCCACGGCCATTCCCTGTTCTTCCTTTTCTCTCTCCTGCCTCTGAACACTCTCCCAGCCTGTCAGCCATACTAAGAACATACTCCTCTCATGTTCCCTGTTGACATTCTTTTCTTTCTTCAGGGTACAGCTCAGGTGTCAACTTCTCTATGAAGTTTTCTCCAGTCCTCCTAGCTCAAAGTCTTCTCCCTCCTCGACTTTCTTATATGATTTTTTTTCTTTGAATCTCCCTTTTGTATTTAGTACATGTGTCACAGTATTCAAGTACATGTATTTCTCTCCCCTGTTAGATTATAAGCTTCTTAAAGAAACTTCTCTTGTTCATTTTTCTCTCTAATACCTAACAGTGCCTTGAATACAATAGCTATCTGATAGTAGATATATATATATATATATATATATATTATGAATCAAATTAAATATGGAGGTAATTTTCTGTGGTAGAATGTGCTCTGTGTGTGTGTGTGTATATGTGTGTGTGTGTATGTGTGAGGGGGGGGGGAGGGAGGGAGGGAGGTAAGAAGGAATAGTCTTCCCAGAATGCCAGCCTGCCTGTTTGATGAAAGCCATAGATATGTTCTAGCCTCATTTGAACCATTTCTGGCATCCTTTTCCTGTGCCCAAAGTAGTAAAGTAGCAAAGTAGCCTGATTTATGTTTCGTCTCCTTTCTCTTTGCCCTATTTTAGGTGCCAAAGGCAGATAGCAAAATGAAAGCGAGACCTTAAGAAACAGAACCTTGTGCCTTGTATCTGAGAAAATAGACAAGAAGCGATGAAAGAAATGAGATCACATTATCTTTCAAAACAGATATTTCTCTCCACTTGGCAATACTAACTTTGACTCTGTAACCCGAAAATATATAAAAATAAGTAAATAGAAAATAAAATAATAGAAGTAAATAGAAAATAAAATAAATAGAAGTAAAGAAAATAAGTAATTCACCTCAGTTTAAATGATCTTGGTTTATTTTCTTTCTTCCAGTTAAGTTATGTTTCATATTTTTTCCTGAAGAAATGGATAGAAAGCTGTCCTCAGAGCCTGTAAAACCTGGGTTCAAATGCAGCCTCTTAACACATTGGCTGTGTGACCCTGGAACTCACTAAGACTAAATTTCAGAAAAGATCCCAACCTGTATTTGGTAGAGGGAGTTTTCCTCATTTGAGAATTCCTCTTGCCAATAAAATCAAAGAACTTGTCCTTCTCCCTTCTCCCCTATTGTTTATTGAGCTTTTGACCTCAGAACCTCTTTGAATCTTGAGATGAGAAGCTAGAAAAAGAATTGCATGCTTTTCACTTGACCTCTTTAAATGATATGGACTCTGTCAATTACATCTACTTCTAGGTTTGAATTAACATCTTGTACTTCTTTCTCTAAAGGAAGTAGAAATTCGAAACAAAGACCTGGAAGGACAACTCTCTGACCTAGAGCAACGTCTGGAGAAAAGTCAGAATGAGCAAGAAGCTTTTCGCAATAACTTGAAGACACTTTTAGAAATTCTTGATGGAAAAATATTCGAACTAACAGAGTTACGAGATAACCTGGCCAAGCTCCTAGAATGCAGCTAAAGGACCTGGGGTTTCAGTGCTGATCCTTTTAAAGACGTGCTGACTCTTCTTCATAGGACTACCTTGGGCTCTGCATCAAAGTTGCACAAAATTAGGAAATTACTCCTCCTCAAGGAGGACCTATTTGCAAATTGGAATAGGATATTGCAGTGTACAATTTAGATTTCAGCTTGTAGCTAGTTAAAAACAAAATGAAAAACTTGAACTACAAATTACCTCCTTGTACATTATTGGCCATAGTTAACTAGAAAGCTATTCATAGTCATTTGATGCAATCCTTTTCTGATATTAGCCAGTGGGAGAATTAGCAGTGTCTGGGTCACATCCTCCCTTTTTTTTGTGTTGGACACAGTTGTAGATTACCTGCTTTTTAAATTTATTTATTTAAAATATCTAACTGCTGTGCTTTGTGCAAAAAAAACAAACAAACAAACAAAAAAAAAAAAAAAAAAAAACCCCAATATTAATGATAAAACCCCTTCTTTTTTTTTTTTTTTTTGTTTTTTTTTTTTTTTTGTTTGTTTTTGTTTTTGGTTTTTTGGGGGTTTTTTTTGTTAATGTTGTTATTGTAACCTTAATGATTTCTCAGGATACTTTTCACTGTTGAGAAGCAGTGTCTTTACCAATTAATTCTTGCCAGGAGTGAGAGAGAAATGCATCTTTAATTGAAACACAGATAATATAACTGCTTGTATAAAGTTCTTCCCTTTTTTTATACTGGAAGATGTTTCACTCTTGTTCACTCTGGTGTTCTATGATACTGTCCAGTGTATGGTTTACTTTTCCATATTGATTCCATGTATTTAGGATAAGATATTGTCTCCCATTTTATTACACATTTTAAAGCCAACAAATGAAGGCAGCTGAGTCCCTCAGAAAAAATTTCTTTTTAAATTTCTGATAAATTTGACATACTGTACTGAAATATAACAGCCAGCCATCAATGGTCTGGTCTGTCTAGCAACGTTAAGGATATTTACAAAATATGCAGTTACATTAAGATGTTTTACTTATATATTTTGCAAGAAATATTTTCTGAATGATCAATGCATTTCAATTTTAAGTGTAATAGTGGCGAATGGGGAACTAACTGTTTATTATAGCTCATTTTAAGGATGTATAGCTGTTTTAAAGGGGATACATTTATGTTGAACTTGCCCGACCAAGAGGACTGTTTCTCGCTGCTGTGATAATAGCAAATTGAGATAGAGACAGGTTTACTCTGTCTGGGTCTTCACACCACATCTGTATCCAAACCACACTAGGCAATATTCTGAACTGTTAACTAGGTGTTTCAACACGGAAATTGAATTCACTCGACTATGCTCAGTGAACAGGTTTTAAAGTTGTTTTGATGTAATTTTAAAAAGATTTTTGGCAAACCTGCATTTCTTTATATGATATATTTATTTTAAGAAAATCTTTGGAAGGTAAGCCAAACGTAATTTTGTCTGCTTACTGAGTAGGAATTGCATCGAACTCCGTCCTCACTGTAAAATACCTATGATGTTGGAGAGGATTCTTTTTTAGAATGGATGAATGAGTGTCTGACTTTCAAGATCAGTCTCAAGAGGCACTGATTTTTTGCTTGCACCCCATGTTAATTTAAACATTAAATACAAAGTTAAGATAGTTAAGAAATTTGTACAACAGACCGCATCTTCCACCTAACAGACAGACTCTCCATATCAGAGCATTTGGGTCTGTTTATATTTATGTGTGTATGTTTCTAATGCATACGCATTTAATTTATATAAGAAAGAACATAAACACAAATGATTGATTTATAAAATTACAATTTTTCTTTTAACAGGGAGTTATCAGGTGTTTCCTGAAAATTGTCCATCAGACCCTCAATCATCCTATATTATATGTGCTCAACCATCCTGTAAGTCGCCTCCATCTATTTTAGTCTATTTTCTCACCTCTTATTCTGGGGAGAATAATTTAGCTAAATATGCTCTGAGCTGAGCTATTTCTATGGTAAGTCACATAATTCATTTGATCTGGCAGATGGAATTTAGAAGTAGAAGATGTCGTGATATCCATAGTCCCTAAGGAACCAAGAGCACCACGCTTATTCATTTAAATGGAGGTTTTGACTTGGGGATTAGGGAATTTAGTCATAAAGAAATAAAATGATGTAAGTTAATGGCATGGCAAGTGAAGTATCATTTTAATGATGTAATAATTAAAATATTTTTGCAATTTGCCATAGGTGTCATTTAAATGTGGGAAAATAGTTCACTAAAATGTCTCCACTTGAATTGTGTTAATATGTGAGACATGTGTCATTCAATATATACATATAAGCATATGTATATACACAGAAAATTATTTTTAATATTTTCCTACTGAAATGAAATTTGAAATTGGACATTTTTTTGAGATTTTTTTCCTTGTCCCATAGTGGATAGTTTTTGGTTTTTTAGAGGTTAACAATCTATTGAAGGCTGCACCTTTTAAATTCCCAAATTGTTACAAGACATGTACATTACACGGGATAAGGTGGATATAAGTGCATATATAAATAAAATTTTGTTATGAATATTTTAAATGTTCATGTACAGCAGGTGAGTGTCTGAAAATTGTCATCTGCAGGTCATAATTAGGTTGTGTGCCTCCAATAGGCCTTCCATTTCTGTATTATGAAAATGATCATTTACATATTTGAAAAACTAATTTTTCCCAGAGAAAAGTACTATATATTGTACCTATCTTCAGATCCAACTGTGGGGACACAGTCACATATGTATTTGCCAGAAGATAATGTTGGGGCAGAAGATAACCACTGAGTGTGGATATGGAACAACAGGGGGTGGGGGGGGGGGAACCAGAGCAATCACATCATGTATAACTTGTTATATGACAACTATAGAGTCTTGTTAAAAAAAAAATTTTTGGAAAAAAAAAAACAAGAAAAACAAAAATACAATTTTTATTTTGAAATACACTTGCTGTTCTCTGGAGAATGTACTTTTTCTCTTTATTTTTCTTTTCTCAAATCTTTTACAGGTATTAAAAAAAGTGTCTAAGTGATGGCAGCATTTACTTAAAATCTTACAGGTGCTATTGGATTTTGCATTAGTGTGTTATGTTGTGAAATCCTGACTTTGACATAAAAGGTTTTTATAAGTATTTCCCCGCGTGGAAAATTAGTTTTTGGCCTCTCTCTCTCTCTTTCTCTTTTTCTCTCTCTCTCACTGTAAATAACAAAATTTCCAGGAAATTGCATTTCTCTTGGCCCATTAGAAGAATTCTAGGACCCACTTATCCTTGCTGCCTTGCTGTTGTTTAACTTGCAAAAAACAAAATAAAATGATCTTGGACTTGGAGAATTTTAGAGCTCGAAGTGGCCTTAGATACCATATTAGTCTAAAAGATAAATATGTTTACAAGTAGACCTAAGGGCATGGGGCCTGTATCAAAACTATACTACATATTTAAACTAAACTTTTTATCCAGCAAAAATTAAATTTATTCTTCACCATTTGTGCTATCGCCTTAACGAAATATTGAATGTTAGACCCGAAAAGAACCTTAGACCTCATCTACCCCCCCTTCTTTTATTTACAGATGAGGAAATTAGAGCTGTAAGAGGCCAGTTGACTGTACACCAAGAGCATAGAGCTGGTGGCAGAACTCGAGAGTAGGACATGGCTTTCCAGCTTCTGGTCTGCTGATGTTAAGGTGCCCAGTTGGAACAAAATGAGCCACCTGTGGTTTGGTCTCAGGCAAATCTAGCACAATATCAGGATGTTAGGTGTCTCTTTTTTTTTAACCTTAGCTTTAATTATACTTTTTTTAAATAGCTTCAAATGATTTCTATGGATTCATAAATATTTTTGCATCATTGAATCTTAACTTTGCCTCTGAGATAACTTGACATTGTTCCTTTATTGTTCATGTGGAAAACACAATTGAAACTTTATAGAAGAAAATTTTTAAGGTAAGAAGCAGAGATTGATACAAATGCATTTCTTAAAGAACTAGAATCTGGCTTAACTGTTATTATTAGCAAGTTGCATTTCTCAGAATAAAATGTATATATGAAATGTTATAAAAACTATTTTGGAAACTGTTTATTTAGAAGTATCATGGTGGGGAGGGTGGGAGGGGGAGGGAGTAAATGGGTCTTTGGTTCCATTCTATAACCCATTTGTAGAATTGCAAACATTTAACAGGGCATTTATCCTTTCATTAAATATTAGATTCCATTCTAACTTTTTTTTATGTATTGTTCTTCTGTATGCATTATAGGATCATTAGTTAAGAGCTTAGAAGGGATCCCAGAAGTCATCAAGTATTAACACCCTCATTTTACAAATGCAGAAACCAAGGGACAAAGAGGGTCCAGTGATTTGCCCATAGTCATATGGGTAGTAAATAGTAGAGTGGGTATTCAAAACCAGGCCCTCTGGCTCTAAATCCAGTGCTTTGGGAAATTACATGCCTTTAAGACATTTCTAGAGGTCACATAGATGTAAAAAAAAACATTGAAATGACTAGGGAGAATTTTGTGATTTCTTATCCAGTTATACAAATCACTTCCTAAATGATTAATATGTGTTTGATATAATAAAATGACTTCCATAATTAATGCTATTTTCATTACTGGACAAAAATGTGGCTTTTGTTCAGAAAATGCAGATGCCCTGAGGACATGTGTTAACCAGGATGGAGGCCATGTGTCATTCTTTTCTATGCCTGCCTATCATAGCCTTGTGTCCCTTGTTTTCCAGAGGACAGGAAGAGCTAGGAGCAGAAATGGTTTAGGTGAGTCCCCAAAAGGAGGATGGAACCATTATTCATGCCACCTTCTTTTAAATGAGGTCCTTCATTTTGCCTGTCTGGATATCAGAACATGAATAACATTCCTCAAGAAGCTTCTTCCTTTGCAGTCTTTTCCAACCAAATCCATTCAAATGTGAACATTTTGGAATGAAAGAGCTCTCCCAGTGGTTGCTAATAAGCTAGAGTTTCAGTCAACCCCCTATCATAATATTTGAAATCATAACTTGATATAAGGATCTCATGTCCAGCTCTGAATCCTAGGATGCTGTGATTCAGATAGCTGATCCTAGGAACTAGTCATTCTGTGAGGTTCTGACCTATTTTGGTCAGTTATATTTCTGCTAGAAAGATGTAATGGCTTTTTCTTGTAATGGTATCTAGTTACTGTAGTAATGGTTACCCAGTAAACGCTTAATTCATCTAATCAGGGTGGCCACAGGAAATGATGTGCTTAGTAAACACTTTTCTGGCAAGTTGATCACTTTTTCTGCCTGTCCATTTATTAGAAGCTACTCATCTGTTCATCTGTATACATATATACACGTAGAAGTTTTTCTCTTCTGTTAGTAATTTATTTTATGGAATACCAAATAGATTTCTGTAAAGCAAACCATTTTCTT